CAACAAGTATTTATTGCACTCCTACTGTTTATCAGGACTGTCTGGGGTCTTTTGCTAGGAAGAGGAGGATACCACAGGTTTTTTTTGTGTGTGGGGGGGAATAAGGGACATATATACAATAAGTGAATGTGTTCGATTCTTTTGTGCTTTCAAGTTCATAGGAATGCTAACTGCTGTCCATTTGATGTCTGAGTCCTTTGGGTTTGGGTCTAGAGGTCGGTATCAGATCCACGGAAGAGCTAGTGAAAAGTTATTGAATTGGGCCTTTTCTTAGGAAAATAGAAGCGCTCCCTAGAGACATGAATATATCACGCTTTTGTTTGACAGTAATACAGGTAATCCTTACCATCAAAGTCTGTGTGGCTCCTGAATTCCTGTAGCATGTTCAGGTGCCATGTTGTCAGGATCTCTGGTTTCTGAATTTTGGATAAGTGAGTAGGAAGAAATAGAATGTTAAAGGACATGAGCCTCATGTCAGTGTCCATGTTTGGATAGTCAGTATTGGCTCAGTGAGAGTTACACTGGCACAAGGATGTCCCCAATGTGCAGGAGGGGTAGCAATTGATGTTGCAGTTTGACACAAGACTTCGTAGGAGGAGACGCTTGTGGAGCTGGGTCACATTTGTCTAGGCAGAGATGAGTGTCAGTTGTGGAAATGGCTTGTGAACAAAGTGCAGAGAGGAGGCCTAAGTTTGTGTTTGTGCACTGACAGCCCTACAGAGTTTAGGGAGGTGCTTTCTGATGATACCCGAGTCAGGAAAGTTCTGGGAAGCTGTTAAGTGCTTCTGCAGTTCTTGGACGAATATCAGTGCTCTGGAGGAAGCAGTGTGGTGTTGAGATGCAGGGTGTTGCAATTCTCGGGAGAGGGAATGTGGGTGGTACTGGGTTAATCTTGAGGGTTCTGTTCAGGAAACTCTTCTCTCCCAGGGATCAAGACCAAGGGCGTGCCAGTGTCAGATGGGAACAGCTTGGCAGGGATTTGAGCTAACTGTAGCCTGGACCAGAAGGACTCTGCTTTTCAGAAGTTTTGTTGTTTGTTTACCGCCAATTTTTAGTTATTGCTCTGACTGTGGATCTCTTATTGCTTTCTATACTACAAATTGTCTTTGAAGCTTAAAGTGAATAATTTTCACCTGGTATGTGTCTACATTTCAGTTCATTCAGCAAGCACTGAATTGGCTGTGAGTAAAATGTGCATGTGACATCAGTATTTTTTTTTCAGATGGGGAGTCTCACTGCATTGCCCAGGCTAGAGTGCAGTGGCGCGATCTCGGCTCACTGCAACCTCCACCTCCTGGGTTCGAGCATTTCTCCTGCCTCAGCCTCCTGAGTAGCTGGGATTACAGTCACCCGCCACCACGCTTGGCTAATTTTTGTATTTTTAGTAGAGAAGGGATTTCACCATGTTGGCCAGGCTGGTCTCGAACTCCTGACCTCAAGGGATCCGCCTGCCTTGGCCTCCCAAAGTGCTGGGATTACAGGCATGAGCCACCGTACCTGGCTGATGTCAGTATTCTTGATGGAGCAAACATGATCTATTAGTTGTAAAATATTAATATTTAGATTAAAGTTGCCATGTTTACTCTGTTGAGTAAGAGCATGGGTTTAGGAAGCTGACAGCTGGGGTTCAAATTTCATCCTGGTCACTCCTAGTCTTGGGCAAGGCATGTGACCTTGGACAAGTTATTTAACCTCTTTGGGCCTTATTTCCTTGTGTATGACAATGAGACTAATAATAATGGTACCCACTTTGTAGAGTTTTTGTGAGGTTTAAATGAGATGGTAATGTAAAGCACTTAGCCTGGTGCCTGACACATTGTAACCATTTGATAAGTGTTCATAAAGAAATAACACAGAAGCAGTTTCCATCACAGCAGGTGGGAAATGGCCGAGTATCTGGCCTCCATCTTCAGCACCAAGAAAGACAAAGTCAACTGTTCATTTTATTTCAAAATTGGAACATGTCGTCGTGGAGACAGATGCTCTCAGTTGCACAATAAACCAGTGCTTAGCCAGACCATTGCCCTCTTGAACATTTACTGTAACTCAAAACTCTTCCTAGTTTGCTAACGGTTTGCGCTGTGCCGTGAGCCCTGTTGAGATGCAGGAACACTATGATGAATTTTTTGAGGTTTTTACAGAAATGGAGAAGTATGGGGAAGTTGAGGAGATGACCTCTGTGATAACCTGGGAGACCACCTGGTGGGGAACGTGTATATCAAGTTTCTCCTTGACGAAGATGCAGAAAAGGCTGTGATTGACTTGAATAACCATTGGTTTAAAGGACAGCCGATCTACACCGAGCTGTCACCGGTGATAGACTTCAGAGAAGCCCTCTTATGAGAGGGGAGAATGCACATGAGGCGGCTCCTGCAACTTCATTCATTTGAAGCCCATTTCCAGAGAGCTACAGTGGGAGCTGCATGGGCACTGTTTCAAGAAGCATAGATCAAGATCCCAATCCTGTGACCGTCATTTTCGGTATAGAGACCATGGTCATGGCAGTGGCGGTGGTGGAGGTGGCGGCGGAGGCAGATGGAGTGTGACAGGAGGCAGCCGAGAGATCATGAGAGATCTGGGCGATTCTGAGCCATGCCATTCTTACCTTATGTCTGCTAGAAAGTGTTGTGGTTTATTGACCAAACCAGTTCATAATGGGAATTTTTTTTAGAAAAACAAAAAAAGAAACCCGCAAAGATGGGTTTCTGAATAAAATTTGTAGTGATAATAGTAAAAAAATAGAAGAAAGAAAGAACACAGAAAGAGGCCAAATGACCTTTCAAGCTGCTTGACACCCAAAGCTCTCAGGTGAAATGAGCTTTGGTATAGCAGAGCACCCTTGGACTGAACCTGGATCCAGTCTGGTTCTGCTCTTGACTAATTGTGGGACTCTACACAAGTTAATCTGCCTGTATATCATTTTTCTAATCTTTAAAATGATACATGACATCGTGATGATGAAGATGATAATGATGATAGCTAATAGGTAATGAGTGCCAGGCACTGTGCTAAGTGCTTTGCATGGCTTATCTAATTGAATCCTCATAACTACCTTGGAGGTAGATTCTGTTAGTATCCCTGTGTTTCAGATGGGAAACCAAAGCTCAGCAGTTTAGTTACTTGTCCTGGGTCACCTCACCAGTAAAAGTAAAGATGGTCTCATCTGGCAGTCTGATTCTCTATGTGTCAGATGCTATGTCACAGTCTTGCATACATTAGCTGCCTTCTTTTGCATTTAATTTTCTAATCATAATTACATTTTGGTTAATGCTTCATGGGTTGTCTTAAGGAAAACATTTGGGAGTAAGTTTGGGATTTGAGGCTAAATTGTAGTTAATAAGCATTTAAAGGGCAGGCATGGTGGGTGGCTCACACCCATAATCCCAGCACTTTGAGGCTAAGGTGGGAGGATTACATGAACTCAGGAGTTCAAGACCAGCCTGGGCAACATAGTGAGACTGCCATCTCTACAAAAAAAAACAAAAAATTATCCTGGCATCATGGTGCTTGCCTGTGGTCCTGGCTATTCAGGAGGCTGAGGTGGGAGGATTACCTGAGCCTGGTGAGTTCTGGACTGCAGTGCACCACTGCACTTCAGCGTGGGTGACAGAGCAAGACTGCCTCAAGGAAAGCAAAAAAAAGTATTTATGGAGTGTCTAGGTATTCCTGGGGAAGAGTGGATTCCCCTGCCCCCACCCGAACATTCTTATTAAATAAAATCTTTTTTTTTTTTTTTTTTTTTTTTTGAGACGGAGTTTCGCTCTTGTTACCCAGGCTGGAGTGCAATGGTGCGATCTCGGCTCACTGCAACCTCCGCCTCCTGGGTTCAGGCAATTCTTCTGCCCCAGCCTCCTGAGTCGCTGGGATTACAGGCACGCACCACCATGCCCAGCTAATTTTTTTTGTATTTTTGGTAGAGACGGGGTTTCACCATGTTGACCAGGATGGTCTCGATCTCTTGACCTCGTGATCCACCCACCTCAGCCTCCCACAGTGCTGGGATTACAGGCTTGAGCCACCGCGCCCGGCCTTAAATAAAATCTTATCTGAGGTGGTTTGAACTTGTGCAAAGCAAAGCTGTGTGTAAATACTACAGTGTAGAGGCTTTTCTCAGCAGACCTCTTGAATGAGCACCTCTGCAGCCAAATATTTGGGTGGAAAAACGGGTGTGGTTTGCAGGTGGCCGCAGGCCTTTCTGAAACACACCCTTAAGTGATGTTCAAGTGTTTCAGGTCAGTGGCAGCTTCCATATTTGTTATTGCTGGGGAGCAACAGGGTTGAGATTCTGAAAACTGGAGCCACAAGTCTTGGGTTGGTGTTTGCTCTTTCAGCTCTTCAACTTGGTTTCCCAAAGCCCACTTTCAGCTGTAGTATGGTGTAGGTCATTGTTCCATGTTGCAGTGTTGTTTGGGAGACTGACCTAAATAGAGACTTTGGTCAGTGACTTGGCAAGAGCAGCCTTTGGCTCTGCTTTGCTGGCCTTGAGCTATACAGGTGTTCTGGCCTTCACATTTAGGGGAAAGGTGATATAATGACAGACAACTTGGGTGGCTGCTTAGATAATTTACTTTCTTTTAGGGAGTTAAAGTGTTGGTTTCAGAAGGCACATGAGTATCAACAAGGGCAATAGTGTGCAGTTTTTCCTCTATGGAGGACTCGAGAAGAAGTCCCTGGCTGGGTTTATAACAGAGGGTTCACGTTTTCCTCCTGCCTGTGGAAGTGATATAATAAGGAAGGCATTCTCTGTGCTGTTGGTTTTTTTTAATAGCAGAAGCTGTTGTGGGCCATTCTACCTCTCCAACCCCAGAGTTAGAACATGAATCAGCAAAATTGGAACTAGAGTTCTGTCTAATTATCTGTGTATCCTTTAACCACTAAGATTTATATTTTGTGACTAATGATCTTGTTCTGGAAGTGCCATCTCCCACACAAGTCCCCAAAGAAAACTGGCTCTAAGGGCTCTTAGAAATCAATTTTTCCCCCTTCTGTTTTCTCTGCAGGATTTATCTTGGGATCCCATGGCTTTCTTTACTGGGCTCTGGGGCCCCTTCACCTTTGTAAGCAGAGCACTGATCCATCGCTGTTTCAGGTAACTTCCCATTAAGTTCTTAAAACTGTGTCTTTGTGTAAGCCTCCTATCAGTGCTGGGTATTATGGTGACTAGAAGAGGAGTGAAAACCCAGGGAGACAGGCATGGGGTTGGGGAAAAGCTAAAGGGATCAGGCTGAGCTGGCCTGGTTGGTCAGGTCACAGGATGGGGGGATAGGTAAGGAGGTGATGTTGCTATGTTAGAAGTGTGACAGGGAATGTCATATGGTGGAAGCTTTTACTCTTCAGTCCTTGCAAGACTCTTATAGTGAATCTCACATCTCTCAATCCTATCATTCCCCTAGAGCATTAAAATCCTCGCTTTTAAAAATGGAATTTTTTTTTTTTTTTGAAACCGAGTTTCGCTCTCTTTGCCCAGGGTGGAGTGCGATGGTGCAATCTCAGCTCATCACTACCTCTGCCCCCCGGGTACAAGCGATTCTCCTGCCTCAGCCTTCCAAGTAGCTGGGATTACAGGCATGTGCCACCACGCCCAGCTAATTTTGTATTTTTAGTAGATACGGGGTTTCTCCATATTGGTCAGGCCGGTCTCGAACTCCTGACCTCAGGCGATCCACCCCGTCGGCCTCCCAAAGTGCCAGGATTACAAGTGTGAGCCACTGTACCTGCCAAAAATGGAATTTTTTAAATTACAAAAACAATACATGCTTATTATTACGAAGAACTTGAGCATGATAGAAGTGTGACACCCTCCCCTCCTTTTAGATGCCACACCAGGAGAGCACCGGAGGCACGCCCATTGGCAGACATGCTTCTCGGTCTGGTCAACTCCTCATTGCACAGGTGTTTCCTGAGCACTGAGCCTGAGGTTGGCTATACAGAGTTGAGTGAGAATTGCTTCCTGTCCTGAAAGAATGCTCACTGTCAGCCACAGAAGCCAACTTGAAAATAAGCAACTCTAAGAAAATGTGATAGAATATTATAACAGAGGATCATACAGTGCTTTGGAAGGCCTCATATACAAGCTGCTAGTGGAGGAAGAGGAGGAGAAAGAGTGGAAGCAGTCTTCTCAGAAGGGAGTTGGGGGCAGATCCTGTCTAGGCTTCCAGGGAGAATTGGGAGGCAGGGTGTGCTTGGGGAACTCCAGTAGTTCCTGGTTGCTCCTGTACAGAGTGGTAAGATATGTGGCCTTAGAAGGTAGGTAAATTGGGACAAGGTTGTGGACAGTGTAGACGGTGGGGAACCATTGAACAATTCTGAGCAGGAGTGGCATCACTTTCATATTCTAAAGAGAGCTTTTCAGTAAAGTACTAGGAACCACCTAGGACACTAATGCCACAGTCTTGGTGTAGGGGAGTGAGGAAGGAAGTTGTTGGTGGGATTGAAGAGGAAGGACATAGGTGCTTAGGAGGTGATATCAACAGGACTTGGTGGCCAGCTGATGTTGGTGGAGAGAGATTATGCCTTGGGTTTCTGGTGTTGCTGGAGAACCCATTATCTAGATAAGAAGTGTAGCAGCAGGAGGAAGTTTGCAAGGGGAGGCAGTGAGCTCAGTTTGGGACCTACTGAGTTTGTAGTAACTGTGGAGCATGTTGTAGGGAGCTGAGGAGAGTGGAAATATATAGGATTAGAATATAGAAGAGAGGTGGGGCTAGAGATGGAATTTACTAGTTGGCAGCAATGCTGATGGTAAGCTTGCACAGAGTAGACATTAAAAAAAACAAGAGAAGAGGTCCTAGGATTACCCTGTGGAAACACCAGCATCAGGTGCTAGCATCAGGAAAATAGGAATCCCACTGTAATCAGTTTGCCCACTAATACCTTGTCTGCCTTTAATGAGTACTCTCTAATTTTTTTTTTTTCTAATGAGAAAAAATGTATTAAAAGATTATTACCTTGACTTATTTCCAGTTTCTGCTGTGTTGTGTCAGGGAATTCCCTTAGCAAACTTACCCATATCTTCTAGTTCTCAGCAACATGTAAATAAGAAAATTAGGGAATGGGTGTATTCTGGGGAAGCAGGTTTTTCAGGATAGGCAGTAGGTGAGGCATAGCCCCTTAGGGATTCCTTTAAGTCCCCAGAGTCCCTTTGGAAATCAAAGGCTTTAAGTTATGGCTGTTATGAAGTTAATTGTCACAGAAAAATTGAGTTCTCTTTAAAACCCATCCAAATTGAGATCTTGACATAACAGCAAAAGCTCTCGATTGTGAGGAAACTGTGTGGGTACAGATAAGTCTTCACAAAGTCCTGACTTTCTGTTGCTGCTCCTGTACAGCACTCTGCTCTGTGTGTGTTGCTGACATGTACTTTCTCCCTAGCCTTGCCCTCAGAGGCTTGTGCACCCTGACCAGGAGAGATACAGACTGCAGACTTTTTTTCTCCCACCAGCACCACTGGGAGCCTGAGTGCGATTCAGAAGATGACGCGGGTACGAGTGGTGGACAACAGTGCCCTGGGGAACAGCCCATACCATCGGGCTCCTCGCTGCATCCACGTCTATAACAAGAATGGGGTGGGCAAGGTGGGCGACCAGATACTCCTGGCCATCAGGGGACAGAAGAAAAAGGCGCTCATTGTGGGGCATCGCATGCCTGGCCCCCGAATGACCCCCAGGTTCGACTCCAACAACGTGGTACTCATTGAGGACAACGGGAACCCTGTGGGGACCCGAATTAAGACACCTATCCCCACCAGCCTCCGCAAGCGGGAAGGCGAGTATTCCAAGGTGCTGGCCATTGCTCAGAACTTCGTGTGAGTTGAGCCCAGGCCTCTGGTTGCAGGAGGGTTTGTGAATGGTGCAGTTCCAAGAACCACACTTTTGCTAAGGGAGCTTGGGAGCCACATGGCTGCTCCCTTCACACTGGGTAATAGTGTCCTATGAGAGAATAAATATATTAATTTATGTTCTTCCAGAGCTTTCTGGGATGTAGTGGGAAAGTAAATGACACTGGAGTAGTTCCAAGGTGGCTTACCCAAATCTGGCCACACAGGGTGGCATTCTTTACACGGAGCAGCCGTGGTGCCAGGGTCTAAGCCCTTGCTTTTCTGATTTAAACCCTATGAGTTCATCCAGAACTGACAGGTCCTGGAAAACCAAGGAACACACCATGTACCAATTTATAAATGTACCGTGGGGTCTGCCACTTTCTAACCAAAAGATACTTGTGTTTATTTTTCTCATCCAAAATCTCCTTTTCCTGTATTAGTGGGCTTGAGACTTTAAATGGTTATAAAGATTACTGAGTTAGCATGGAATAAGAGCAAAGAAGCTGATTTAATCTAGTGAACATTTTCTTCAGGCCACAGTAAAGCCCAGACAGTAATCCTTCCTTTATTCTGATCATCTGCCAGAACACTCCACTGTGCCCAGTAGCAGAGCATCCTTCCTGGACTGCTGGAGATATGAACATGTTCTTACATTTTGCGGATGACATAATCTTGGGTCTGTGCGGGTGATTCAGTGACAGTTATCTTCCATTCATCTGTAGGTTTGCTTGCAAAGATTTAGAGACTCTCTTAGTTCCTTTGCTGGAATCTCAACTTATTTATAAATTTTTAAAAATTCATTTAGAATACCTTAGGTAGTTAACTCATTAAATGAATAACTAATCTCAATGGCTTCTAAGAGTCAGAGTAGGATAATAATTAGGAACATAGGCCAGACTGTATGGGTTTGAATCCTGACTCTACCACTTAATGACTGGGCAAATTATTTTACTTTTCTTTAGCTCAGTTTCCTTATCTGTAAAAGGGGGATGTAGTAATGGTACCTACTTGATAGAATTGATGTGAAGATTAAATGAGTTTGTAAGTGCTTAGAACAATACCTGGCAATAATAAGCACTCAGGCTAGGGATGGTGGTCCAGGCCTGTAGTCTCAACTGCTCAGGAGGCTGAGGTAGGAGGAGCCCAAGAGGTGAGTCCAGCCTGAGCAACATGGCAAGACCTGTCTCTTAAAAAACAAACAAACAGGCCGGGCGCGGTGGCTCACACCTATAATCCCAGCACTTTGGGAGGCTGAGACGGGTGGATCATGAGGCCAAGAGATCAAGACCATCCTGGTCAACATGGTGAAACCCCGTCTCTACTAAAAATACAAAAATTAGCTGGGCATGGTGGTGCATGCCTGTAGTCCCAGCTACTCGGGAGGCTGAGGCAGGAGAACTGCTTGAACCCAGGAGGCGGAGGTTGCGGTGAGCCAAGATCGCGCCATTGCACTCCAGCCTGGGTAACAAAAAGCGAAACTCCATCTCAAAAACAAACAAACAAACAAAACAACCAAACTTTTAGGTAGGTACTTTTAGGAATAGGAAGTAGCTATTTACTGTTGTCACGAGTCTGCATGGGTCAGCACTGAGAAAACAAAGGTAAGTAAAAAGAGTAAAAGCAGGTGTGGTCCCTGCTTTCCTGGAGTTTATATAGTCTCGGGAAACCAACGTGGATCAATAATTCCTCAAACAAGTGCAAAGTCCCAAGTGTAGCAAGGGTCTGTGATAAAGGAGCTAGAGTTTCAGTGGGATCGGGGGCAGCTTCCCTGAGGAAGGATTGCATCAGCTGCATTCTGAATAGGTACAGTGATAGAAGTCAACAGTGGTTACCTGGGGAGTAGGGAAGGTGTAGACTGGAAAGGGGAAAGAGGGAAACTTCTGGGTCTTACGAATGTCCTAAATCTAGATCTGTGTGCGAGTTCCATGAGGATAGACATCCGTAAACAATTACGGAGCTGTATACTTTAGTGCACTTTATATCACAGTGAAATAAATGAATAGGCATTAGTTAGGTAAGAGAAGAGTAGGAAATGTTGCTGGTAGAGGGAAGGGCATGTACATAAACCCTGTGACAGGAGGGAATGGGATAAATGCCGGGTCTAGAAGAAAAAGCCAGTGTGGCTGGAACAGGGAGAGCAAGAGGGAACATGGTGGGGGTTGAAGTCAAAAGAGGAGTGGGGCCTCATGAGTCCTCGGGAGACTTTCCTTTTACTGAGGTCATTGGGATGCTGTTGGAGAGTAATTTAGCAAGTGGGACAAGACATGGTTAGATCTGCTCTGGAGAGAGATCTTGGGGAGGCCAGAATGGAAGAGTGTGCTTTGCAATAGACTGTGGGAGATGATAATATGGACCAGGTTGTGGTGGAGGGCAGTGGGCATCTTTAGGAGGTGGAGTTGACTTGGGGAATACTAATGGAGGTGGGTTAGTAATGGGGAATACTAATGGGGAAAGGCCAGGGATGGTTTTTCTGAGGTTTCTGGCTTCTGTGCCTGGATAGTTGGTTGTGTTGAACCTGGAGCTAGGTTGGAGGATTGGGGAGGAATAGCGGGTGTGGGCAAGCTGAATGGAGGTGCCTTTGAGACATCGAAGAGATGTCAGGTAGGTAGCTGGATATAAATAATCTCTTAAATTGGAATAACACTGAAGACACTGAGTTTCAGAGGTAATTCAGAGGTAAGAGGTGATTTTTCAGGGTTCTCCAACTAGTAAGTGGTAAAGCTGGTCTCGGAGCTGGATCCTGTGACTTCCAACCCAGGGTCTTCCCACATCATTGGGTCTTCCTTTTGTAGTTGATGAGTCCACTTCATCTTGACTTGATTCTTACTAGCTGTGATCCTAGAGGCTGATGTTCTGATTTTCCTGAGTTCTGTGGGCGTACCTTAGAGCCCCATTGCCCACCGAGCCTTGACTGCAATGAGGCAGAGGCTCTTAGTTTTACATCTTCCATTGGAGGAGCACATTGCTCCTCACTAAGCCTGATTCAAGGTACTCTGGGTATTTTAGGAGCTAATATCCTCTCCATCTGGCCCTCTGGAAGGGCTGACATGCTGTGCCGCAGCGGTTGGATGTGGCCAGTGAGGAAGAATCATCGAAACCAGGGCCTGCTTTGCCAGTGGTGAGTGTTTCTCTCCAGCGGCAGCAGCTGGTACTCAGTAGGTTCTTAACGTCCCTGCTTTCTGTGCAACTTCCTAAAGGCTGTGGGAGGAAGAGAACCCTGGCCTGAAACAAAGGGAAGGTGGAATTGTTCTCAGCCTGGCACCACTTGCTTAAGGGCTGGACCTTTGCTCTCACTGGCGCAGCTTTACCCAAGCTGCCCTCTGGCTTCTCAGGTCCCTTGCTTTCTGGGGTCAGCCTCACTTCTTCCTCTGCCCTTAGCAGGAAGTGTCTTCCGTTCATGTGCTTGCAGGGTGCTGCCACCCCTCACCCGCCTCCCTGCTGTTTAGGTTCATCAGAGTCATTCAGATGACTCTCCTCTGTCCTCGCTGTCCCCTCCTCTGGTCTTCATAGACTTAAACCCTCTTCCCAAGGTGTTCTGTGCTGACCGCTGGAAGGCTGTGGTTTCAACAAAGCCGGTGGCCAGGGCCTGTGACGCAGGCCCTCATAGCACAGCCCAGAATAGCCTCGGCTTTGTTGCTTTTCCAGCTGCCCTATCACTTTGCAGGCTGGGATCTAATTTGCTGTCCACCCTCTCAACCCTAGTCTCTCAGCCAGTGCTCATGAAATATTTATAATCACAGATTATGTTTCCCTATGAGTATAAACTTGCTGTTGTTTTTTTTCCCCCCCTTGTGTGCCCTTAAGAATCTGCCCCTGACAGGTCAAAGGGCCTTATTCTCTGGTTTCATGGACTTCATCACACTTTCTTTGGTGAAGGGGCTGGCTCCACTTACGGTCTGACTCCCTCTGCTAGACCACTGCTGAAGAAATGTGAGAAAAGGGCTCTAGATTAGCTCTTGTAGTCAGAGACCTGGGTTCCAGATGGAACCCTGCTGCTAATTAGGAGCTTACTGCTGGAGGGCTTGGTGCTCAGGACCTCTGGCCAGTGGGTGTGACTCCTAAGGGCCAGCCATGTTGAGGGATGTGTGCCCTTGGCTGCTGATGGGGTGAGGGGGGACCTGGCCAAAGTGTGTGCAGAGAGGCCTTGCCACCATCAGCACTCCTGAAGCTAGTCACCTCTGGCAGAGATGTCCAGTCCACTTCCTGTGTGTCTTTGGGTATTAGCGCAGAAAGCAGGGAAATTAAGAGTCTTCAAAGTACCAGCTGCTGCAGCTGGGAAAAAGCGCCTACCACTGAGTTTCTCCCCTGAAACTCTCAAGCCCAGCTTTGCATTTATGAGGGCAGCGGCCGCTGAGGCAGAATTCACTGGAGGGGTGCTTCCTCCTGTGTTAGAGTGAGGAGAGGGGCCAGGACTGGGGTCTCCCTGGAGGTGAGGTCCTACTGTACAGGCGGGAGCCCAAGTCCATTCCACTCCAACCTCCCTGTGTGGAGCTGCCTTAGTGTCCTTGCTCAGGCCTCTCATTACCTTTCTTCGCCTCTTCTCATGGTCTTTAATTTTTTTTCTCAGTGGCTGAGAAATCTTGCTTTTGACAAAAATTGTGTAATACTGGAATCAAATCCTTAACCGAAATTTGAATCTGTACCAGTAGCTGTATTTCTTTTCTTCTAATTTTGTAATTCAAACTTAAAATTGTAGGACTTTTGTTTTATTCTTTCCCACCTGGAGGATGGTAATAGATCACAGTTCAGTTCTTCCCAGCATTTTGGACACCTTCTTGCTGAATTATTTTGCGAAGTATTAGTAATTTTCTGAATTATTTGGGCTTCCTGGGCTGAAAGTGGTGATGAGTTTGCCTTTCAACTTTCAGTATAAAGATGGTGATTCCCAACCAGATTTGGAAACAGTAATGATCTGTTGTCATTGCTTGGTATTATGGCAGGCTGTTTCATAAGACACACCACAGGCATTTTTTAAATGAAAATTAAACTTTATTTTGGGAATTTCATAAGAGCTCTTGAATAATTGTGATACCTTTGGATATTACAAAACCTTGATTGGCAATTGATTTGAGGCCAAGTGTTTACATGCTCAATAAAGACAGCTCTTGGCCAATCTGGACTGATGACCCAGTGTGT